TGCAGGATGTGCCTTCCGAGAGCTCATTCATATACGGGTGAGGCGACGTGTTTGAACCGCTCAACTGGTCGTTTAGATAAACTCATATAAACTCGTCACTAATGTGTGCCTGCATTCTAGGGTCCTAATACACACCAAAATAGACTTTCTCTAATCCTAGTACATACGATGTCTGTCATTTCCGTTCTGTGGACGGGGGAGCTGATAGTTCAGAGGTTTGCGCTCAAGCACCGTTTCAAGCGTGTGACTGTTCCGTTCGCTCTAAATGATAATGGTACAGAGGAACTAGGATTCACGTATGCGCGTGCGTGTGCACCATGAGTCAAGTGTGGCGCGGCTTCCTTCCTGCAGCTGCTGTGTTGCTCTCCCTTCAGCGTCCCTACCAGCAAGCACAGCAGTTGCTTCCACCACCACCACCACCCCATCTGCTACTCTGTCGTTCTCTGAACGGCTGGTGGAACCGGACTGCGTAGCACACAAACTGCCTGTCCTCAGTCCAGACCGCAGATTCGTGCCATGTGAGACGAGGACAACTTCAGCCATCCACTTACCCAATTAGTGGTGGGGAAGCCGGCACAGCAGTTCCACCACCACCACCCCATCTGCTACTCTGTCGTTCTCTGAACGGCTGGTGGAACCGGACTGCGTAGCACACAAACTGCCTGTCCTCAGTCCAGACCGCAGATTCGTGCCATGTGAGACGAGGACAACTTCAGCCATCCACTTACCCAATTAGTGGTGGGGAAGCCGAAAATGAATCACACTGTGCTGGTCGGTGTCCCAAGGCGGTACAGATTTTTCAAACGGCCTTGGTTTGATCATTGCACTCGGGCCATTGCTTAGGTATGCAATGAGTCAGTCAATGGACAACTGATGGTTTGGTGTGCCTTAACCTTCATATCAAGCGATGAATACCCCATGCTGTGTGCTTTGTTTTTCTTGCTGGCACACAGACACTAGACTTTGGATCAGTCGACAGATAGCGAAATGGTCATGAGGTCAGTGAGTTTCGTTCACAGGACCTAACCGATTTCTTGTGCTTACTTCCTTGCGTCGTTCACAGCGTTCCGTTGGATGAGAGTTACACTTTTTCTTCATATTCAGCTCCAGCCTGAGGTGGACTAGCAGCCTGATAAATAGGATTCTTCGTGCCTTGGAAAATGTAACTAAACGCTTCTTCTTCGAATTTATTTTGTACGCCTATGATTAAGGTATCGAAACTGAGAGTGGATGCGCTGTTTTTAAACTCCACAGAGCAATGAGTACAAATAGCTACCGCAGCCTTTTAGTCACTGACGGCAGAGAAAGACAGGCACCCGTAGGAAACAACAGCCTATACGTACTCATCCGGATAACATAGGCTACTATTCATACCATACATATGGTCATCAGCTGGACGGGAATTTGAAGATATCTCTGTTTACTTCGTTACATTCCCTCTTGTGAGTACATATATATGCTGCACTGTTCACCCGGCGTCAGAAGGAGTGATCACTAGCAAAGCACCACCATATCTAGTATGAGTGACGTTGAGAGTTTTGCCGCATACCTTAGCAACGAGATCTATTCGCTGATCGGTGCAACTCAGCACTTTGGTCCTATTTGATACAATTCCTGTTGTATATAAGCACCTATCTGTTCTACGGTCAAAATGAGCTATTGAACACTACATGAACCTCCTTCGACAGTCGCGCCGTTTTTCACTAAATACTGGTCATCTTCAAATTGCCTGATCACCCGACATTCGATGTGTGTGTATGTGTAGCCCCGTTGAGTGAGTTAAATAAGTAGAGGTATCCTTTCGTGAATGGTCTTCGCTATCTCTCACTCAGAAAGTTTTTGAGTTATCTGCTAGGCGTCCTCTTCCTATGGACAACTGCTGTATAGACCTTCATTACTTCTTACCCCTTTCACGCTCTCTCCTCAAAAATGCCTCTTGACCAATCAGAAACGAATAACCAATCCACCTTTGCTCCTGCTCCTTGACGCGTCTCAAGTATCGTGTGCTCAATGCTGCGCGTTAGTTGCATGCTAGCCAATCGGAGCTAAGGAACTGACAATACGCGTAGCGCATGTGCACCATCGCGTCTTAGTTTGTCAACCGATTGGAATGCGATTTGGAATCTCGTAGACTGAATCACGAATGTCAGACTACCTGAAACTGAATTCGTGCGATATATTCGCAGACAAAATTTGATAAATAATTTATTGAAGCCGGGTTTTCCGACTTAAGGGCTCCATGTATTTTTTGCATCAATACTTTTGAATTTCAGGGAGCTATTTAGTTCATTCATAAGTTCCGATTTCGTAACTCAACTTTAATCATTTGCCAGGATAAAAACTACTCGCAGTTTTAAAGTTTCGCTCTAGACCATTATTTTCGAAACAGTATGCACACCAATCACCAAGAGAGAGACCGACAACCCATTCGAAGCAGTTCATATTAGACCCATACCGGGTCATCGACCTTACCCTTTCAGACACCCATTCCTGTGCGTATAGTCCATGAGGCTGATAACATGCACATAACTCGTACCACTAAGTGACTGAGTACTTTCTGCTATAAATCTTCCCGACTGAAAATCTGAACAAAATTAAGGACAAGTGTTCGCTGTCGTTCTCATATTTTCACTCGGAAACATGAATTTTTGAATCTCTGAATGTCTCTAGTCTGTTTGAAAAGTCTGAGCCTGATTAAAAAGCGGGGTTGTCGGTTGTGAACACATCGTTATGATCCCTGGCGAGGCATTGGCAAAGTTGATTTTGATATCTGTCTTATTGTTACCACTGTTTTCAGTAGAGCCTTCTCAACAGCTGTCAGTATGTGTTTATGTTTTGTGGTTGTGCGATGATTGGACTGTATCTCAGAAATCCACGTATCTTCTTTCTGTTTAAATTTCGATTTTCATATCGACTGTTTGATGCAATTTACCCGCATCTATCTGTATTATAGGGCCGTATATGTCCTCAGGCATCCACCTCCGTTGATCACAACTCTTGCCTCGAGGATGATGTGAAACATGCCGATGATGACAGCGATCACACGAAATCGGATGAAAGTGCAATAGACATGGAGGGATCGATTACTGACCACACACCTATTTCTCACAAACGGGCAGCAAGCTTTGATGAGTCGGGCGTCGACAGTGCAGACGCAGTGGATGAGCCAACGACTCCCACGCGACCACGAAGCCCAAAGCGGCATTGCACAGTCGATCTTACCAAATCCCAATCGAATCAGACGGTACCACTAATTCTTTCAATAGGCAACACCACAACGGACCTTCCTTCGAATGTTCCGTCTATGGGGCTTAACAAGCCGATCTTACCTAACATCACCGTGTGTTCACAACCCATGGGATCAGTTTCATCCGCCAATCCCGTTATGGGTCAGTTGATTCCAATCTCTGGACTGCCTGAACACCTGCTGTGTGGCATCTCGACAGCGCTACTGGGCGGTGCCGGCAATCCAACTACTAACACCCAAATTACCTCTGCCACTAACACTTCGGGTTCCCTGATTTCACTCCCAATGCTGGAGAATCAGATAAACATGACCACACCAAACGCATCTTCTACGTGGGTACTGACTAATCAACCGACTGGTTTAACTGCAAGTCTGCAGACTACAACTGGGGCCTCTCAGCCAACCCTATTTATGCCTGTACCTACTGCACTTGGTGACGCCAACATGAAGCCGTTTTCTACACATTTGGTAGAAATGAACTCGAACGGAGTGATGGCTGGTAGTCAGTCTACGAACCTGTTGCGTGTTACAGACTTACTGGAGCTACTTAAATCCTTCGGAGCCACAGGTGGTCTTGTATCGTCCATTAATGTACCCGTCAGCGCAGCTGCGTTAAATACCACAGTAACAACACCGGCAAGCACGTCTAGCGTGAACGGTACTGGTTCAACAGTTTTGTACACCACGTCGAATCAGCCTGGGCCTCAAACAGTTGCATCCAGTTTACCACCTTCCACTAGTTCTCCTGGGTCCCGAAACCTGGTCAACTTGGTGACCAGCTTAACTGGTACAAGCCCAATAAGTGCGCCGTCCACAATGAGTTCAAACACGAACGCCATATCCCCCAGTTTGTTATTCAATCAGTTGGTCATGGCTGCTGCTGCAGCAGCGAATTCTTCAACGAACGGTGTTATTCCCAGCCCAACACAGCTGAGTGACAGCACCGCAGTAGTTACCTCCGGAGCCGATCGGCTTCCAGATACAGTACCCCCTGAACAGGCCTTGGATATGTCGGTGAGTATCTCATACATTGCTCAGTGTTACTTCATTTCCCAGTGTTATAAGCGCTTTGATATTCATCCACTTACTCCTGGAACTGTATTTGTAGCTTTTCTAGGACTTCTTCTTCTGAGGAGAAGTGTTTACAACCTTAGTCAGTCACAACGCCACTAGGCTAACTAATGTTCAGAGCGAATTCATCACGTTATGCTTATTTCTCTCAAAAAGACCTTATCCCGCTCATAGTCATGCGCTGTCTTTCCTTGGTTGTACCACTATATTTTGCGTGACATAAGTTATCATGTTCTCCACCACGTGAATATTACAGCTCGCCTAACACATGCGTGCTGATCATAAGTTGTCCGTAGAGTGTAGTTTGTGCTGGCCGTGAACACACACGCAGTTCTGTGTGGGAAATAGCACGAGAACAATGTGACCACATGGCTCTCGTGTGTGAGCGGAATCTCAGGCTGACGTTGTAGACTGGTCGTTAACCGCTTTCATGCGCTGGTTCATAAGCCTGGCCACACAGGCGAATAGTCAGAGCAACTACTATATTGGTTATCCGGATAACTGGTGCACCCGGACGAACCTTCATTCTACAGATATACCATTAACCTGGCAGAGCAGTCATCAATAGTTATTCTGTCGATTGGACCAAGTTTTAGTGATATTTGTACACCATTCAATAGTCTCGAGTTTTCCAGTCGGGCAGACGAGCAGCACTAACCGTATGCTTGCCTGTCCCGTAGTGTGCATCCGTTTATTTATGTCTGTTCATGCTTGTCTGACATTCAGCCAACTTGTTAGTTAGTTTGCCAATGGTGCTGCACGCCAAGTAGCACGCAACTCTCGTTCCTACTCTTCCAGCTTCTTTCTAGCTGTGCCGCTATCCTGTCCATTCCAATCCTCGCAGCGTGCACATGTAATTGCACACGCGGCTCTCAAAATTGACATTTTGCACTTTCACTGTTTCTCTGATGTGTTATTCCGCAGTTACTTATGCACTTTTCGGGACTGCCATGTCTACCACGGGTGATAACCTTTAGATTTCTGTCTGCGTACGTATGCTTAGCTGGTATAGCGAGGGAATTCGAAGAGAATACTTGCGACGTCCCCACCCATATAGGAGGTGGCGTAGGTTATTTTCCCAAAGTTCTTTTCTAGCCGGATCTCCAAGCCTTGTGGTTCTTATAATTTGGGCACTCAGATTTGGAAGTCTGACACCGTGAAACTCCATATCGAAGCCTATTTTGGAGCTACATTGTCGTTGACGCTCCGAGAGGTGTGAGTCGGACTTATTCACTCAGTTGTTTCTAGTGATTTTCTGCTTAACTTCTACGACATTTTATCAAGAAAAAATGCGCAGTTTCAAAATTAGTTTCATAAATGTGTTGGGTTAATAACGCCGCTTGAGATGAATGGGTCATTTGAGACGCACTAGCAAAAACACCCTCGCTTCTGTGAATTTATGCTTGACAACTTATGTACCTCGCCTCATCCGTCACCATCCAGCTCAGGATTTTGTGCTTTGCGGTCTATTTTGGTGCAGAAACTCTCTTCTCCTATCGTGTGAGAGGTCTTCTATACCCGCTGGTTCATCGGAACGTTCGTGACAAGTGTAACTCTGGTTGTTGAATTGCTCGAACTGCACACTAGTTCGCAGATGACTGCTGCAAAATCGCAGTCCAAAAATTCTTTTCAAAACGACTCCTAAATTTAGACGGGATTAATTAACCTGCGAACCACAAATAATCGTGCATCACTTTTAGCTGATATCACGCTGAATATGGTCACGGTTTTAAAGCACATTACTGTTGAAATTAACCCGCTCAGTATGTGATACTTCAAGCGCCACAATTCACTTCCCTGGAAAGGAATGATTCCAACACACCAAATTTTGTTTCCCACCCGATATGCACAATCACAAGCAGCGCCTAGGTGTTGACGCAGTTTGGGTGCTGTGTTTTTTTGGGTAGGCACGAACACTTATGCATGGCGAGATAAACCTTCTGCTAGTAGCTTCAAGTATCTCGTCAATGCCTTTCTCAGACTCCATTTTCTGCTACTGCTACCACCACCATCATAGCCTGTTTATGTGCACCGAAAGAGTTAATTTTGTGCGTACAGAGTGGTGGGGAAGAGAAACGGGGGTGAACGAGAAGGAACGATGGTACATGGATGAGTGCAGTTGGAATAAACCCATCGGCATCCAGTCGTTTGTGCGTCTGCACCGGCCGAGACAGTTGGTTTATATTTGAGCCTGATCGTGCCCGACTGCGTTCGTTGGCTGCCACGTGCTCCTCAATCATTACTGTGCCATTTCTATCACTCTAGCGGGTGCGTTTGTGCATGTGAAAGGAGAAATTTTCAGGTCCGCGCGTAGTTGTGGCTGGGTGTGTTTATGTGCGTGGATGCTGAGACGACCTCCACTCTTTTCACTTTTCCCCAGGCGATAGCCACGTGATGGGCTTAAAAATCAGAGGGAGCGAGTGCTGCTCCATATCTAGAAGAATGTTAGGTAGGTGTTGTCGGCAGTGATGAACCGTCGGTAAACATACACACATGCACGAATCGTGGAATAATATCATCCTGTCCGCATTTGCCATGCTTTCGGTTCACATGTACCCACTACTCCTGCCACAACACACACTTCATTCTGGGGCGAGTACCAGATTAGCGGACTGTATCCCAACACATGAGAAGAATTTCGTCTCACTTGACTATCTGCCATACCCTCACAGTCTTTTTCAGCAACTGCTATCAACCCCTCCCACTCTGAAACTAGAGGACGAAACTGGTACTATGAAACTCGTTTCACTCCGTTTTACTTGCTTGTCGTCATCAGTATTGGTCAACTTATCTCAGGCTTCTCATGGTGTGCTGGCCCCGGTTTAGGATTCTTCCGGTAGTCCCCTGACATGAAACATACTCACATCTGGTTATTCTCGTTCCCGCGGCAGAAAAGTCATACAGTAACTCATAAAAACTGTTTAACCGTTAAATACAAGACACACAGCGATTCCAAACATTCAGTTTCAGAGAACGAATGCTATATAACGTTCCCATCTAGTTCAGGTATCATGGAGTAAAGTGCCATGTGGCTAACAGTTGTATGTGGTTAACATCAGTGAAGACCAAAAACGCAACATGAGATCTTCGGTGATGAGTTTTGATAATACTCATGATAGTTGCCTTTTTCGGAGGAAAGTAGAGCTGACCCTTCCTCTCAGCACTGACCAAGAGTCTTCTAGAATCACGCTGTATGTATAAAGACGACTGTTTGTCGAAAGTAACCCACCTACAACGTCACTTAATAAGGCAGATAATCCACCCACTATGGGGAATAGCGTTCCTTTTCGTTACTCTGACTTGTGATTCGACTGGCAGCCTAGTCAGTGAACGCATGCTTTTGGAGAGGGTAAGTTCGGTCTGCCATAGAGACCGCAACAGACTCATGGGCATGCATAATGCACTACTCATAAGGTTGCTGGAAATTCGTCGACAACCCACGGCAGGTTTCGTCCTTCTTTGGGCTCATCAGGTAGGCTCAGTCCCAGAGTTTCCGTCAACCTTATGTTTTACTTGAAACCAAATTGTATGAAATTAACGGAATACACTCATTTGCAAACAAATTTAGTTTTGCGAGAGACTCACCTGGAACCCAGCTGGATCTCTCGTTTGTGATGTTTCCAGGCATGTGCTGAATGTGCTGCACCAGGCCGCCTCATGTTTCAGTTGCTACAAAATTCGAGATATCGCGATACATCCATGTACGTAATGCACTACTCATACGGTTGCTGAAAACTCCTCGCAGCCCACGACCGGGTTCACCCTTCGTCGTGAAGCACTTTCAGTTGCCTGGAAACATCACAGACGAGAGATTTAGCTGGGTTCCAGGTGAGTCTCTCACAAAACCAAAGTTGTTTACAAACGAGTGTATTTCGCCAGACTGTTGGGCGCCCAAGTAGAACATACCAAAATTCTCCCCCCGTTCACATATATTATTATGCGAAGTTAAACACCTAGTCCCAAACAGAGATTATTTTAACACCAGGCTGAAATGAGTCCCCTCAGTCGAATGTGATTTGCAGAAACTGTCCCGTGGTTCAGTCGCGTCCGTATTCAAGGTGCTGAGGCATTTTTCCCGTCAACCCAGTTCATTCAGTTAAATATCGATCACTTGGGTTTAAACACATCTTTAGTTTAGATTTCTTGTATCCAGGGTTATGGTAAACTAAGGTGCGAATGTCAACTTTTTAAAAGCCCAGTGCTGGGAATGGGTGAGTGTCCTGGCGCCAACTACCCGTATCCACCTGCTCAAAATGACAAGCAACAGTTCATTAGTGTTTTGGTGCGAATCAGGGCGACGAGGAAGAGCACTGCCGTCACTTTGGGTTAGGCCAATTAGATTTTACGATATCAGAGGGCTAGTTGAATGTGGAACATAGTCTCAGCTCATGTTTGGTCTTGCTCAGTGGCAGCGGAAACGGGTGACTTGACCCTTTGCTACACCTTGAAGCATGTAGTATGTTAGCAACCAGGCACGGAGATAAATGTTTTGATTTGCATCCGGTTGGGGTGGGAGTGAGTACAAAATTAATCTAAAACCGAATGAAGTGTGAATAAGATGGAGATACGGAACTCAAAACCAATTTAAGTAAACTGTACTTAAGTGCAGCCCATTTTGACCAATACAACTGGGGAAGTAGAAATAGGGTCAGAGAAGGCGAGTTAGAAAAAAAGTAAGATATTCGAAATTATGGTATTGTGATCGTGGTGGGCAGAGACAGGTATCACAGTGTGTATATTACAATGTCCAAAACTTCGACAATGAAACACAGACCGTGTATGATGGACAGGAGGAAAGCTCAGTGGTTGTTATAGCTGTTTGGTTGGACAACGAAGGAATGCCCTTCAACGCCTGAGTTGCTTCCTGAAATGGACCACTGCCTGAGCACAAGGTTTGAAAGTGATGAACCATTCACAGGAATAAAACGGCAATTGTAATTGCCAAAAAATCTTTTCACGGTGATTTGTGCTGGTAGAACCTGAAGAACAGCGGGCTATAGGGAAACCAGGCACAATAGGCCGGATATACGTGCGTTCGACAGAGGATATCTGCAATGGAGCATGAGTACTAGGTGGGCAGAGAAGTGATTTTGGTTGGTATCATGGTCAAGTAAATACAGAAAAAGAATGAAAAACTGAATGCGACAGAATGCAGTACTGTATGGGTTATTTGTTGCTATGAAAAGGACTACGAATTGCTCATAAAAACGAAAATTACTGGATTTTAAATTCGATAAAGGACATGAACATGCGACATCAAAGGGCCTAAATCAGCCCGAGAACTGACGCCGAAGCGTACGCAAGTGTAACTGCTTCCGGAATAAGCCGATAGGGCTCATACACCGTCCGACAAACAAGCCTCGAACGCTGTTCTGCCTCAATGACAGTCGCAACCTCCTAGAGCCGGTGACAACCAATATTCCTTATTATTAACTAACTGGCACTAATCGGATTCATACTATCAAGTCGTTATACGGTATGATGATATGTTTTGGATGGGTAGGTTTTTTCAGCCGGCATCAGCTGATCTATCACTATATCAGCTGTGTTTAGCGTATCTTTGAACACGGTAGCTTTATGGCCTACTCGTTTACTGTTTTTCAGGTTCGTTCAGGCACTATTCCACTGGGTGTGCCAGTTTCCATCTCCATTGGTCCTGGGTTAGCCAAGTCAAGTGAAGGCACTGGACATTCTATGTCCAAGGTCACAGAAGCCACGGAATCTAGGTCCGTCATCACTTTGCCATTCAAGCAAGACCAAACAAATATTGCTTCACTTCAGGGAGTCATGGAAGCTCTCACGGCAGCCCTTAAAGGCGGTATGAAACAGCGCACACCACAAACACCTGATGTCGTTTCATCCAACACACTTTCGAATTCGGCGAATTGTGCTGCTATTAACACACGATCGACCTCTCCAGGAAGTGTTTCAAAGACCAACACTGGATCACCGACGGACCATGCAACGTCCAGTCATTCAGCCTTAGTCAGGCCCCAGACGACGGAAATAGAAAGTGTGCTTAATGGCAGTGCTGCCAAAACCTCGCTCACCACATCCCATTCAATTCTGCTTCCATTCGTGGCACAAAACCTGGAGACAGCATCGACGGTATCGGGTTTTCCGGATGAGAGCATTGATTCAGGGGACCCTCGTCCACCAACTACTCAGACGGTATCATCCGCACCCTATCATCTTACAAGCAACACAACCGCAACCAGTCCTCCACCTCAAATGGTGAGCCTTGCTCAGCTTCAGGCGATCATGTCGGCAATGGCTAACAATGGGTCGATATCCGTCACAACCCCACTGGTGAACGCCTTAGCAGCAACGACATCCAGCACTTCCACGTCCCAGTCAGTTAACTTGTCTTCCACAAACACAGGACAGAATGCGTCGACAAATGTACAAAACAGCTCACTTTTGTCCGCCAACCAAGTACTTTTAAATGCAAGCTCGCTCTCCAGTGGTACAACTGGGGTAATCCCCTTGACGGATCCCAACGGAACGCTTCTTGCGTCGGCTTCACTTGCGAATCCGACAGGCGCTCTGTCACTGACCGCAACCTCCGGTTCCCCATTGTCGACGGCGGCTATTTTCAGTTCTAATGCCGGGCCGACAACGGTGTGCACAACACCCCTGACTATTGGCGGACTGAAAAATATTCAGCTAGCTCCCGGGGCAGAGGGTGAGTAAGCATCCTTGCATCATTTTTCGACCGCATTTTTCAACTTTTGCCTTTCTCAGTCACTTTACAGACCTAAGCACGTTTATCCACTTTATACTTGATGGTTTTTTTTTAAAAAAAACAATTGGTTAGCATATCTGGAAGTGTAACAGTCTGCCCCGGTTTTGCTGTGTTCTCACTCAGGTTGAGAGATCCAGTCTCCATACCTCTCCTTCTTAGTCTAATGATGAAGCGGTCACAAACCACATTTGTTCTAGGTTTGATTTTGCACGCAGTTTAGCCGTAGGTCTGTTCCATTCGCCGGAGTTTGAGCACTAAATAGAGTTCCACCACCTGAATATGTCGTAACGCTCTGTGTCAGCTGATATCCGCACACTATCCATTTCACAACTGTGACCAGATATCGCTATGGTGTGATGGGCGTTAGATTCAAACCTTGGATGCTATGCTAATCTTAGTGGTAATACACCAGGTTATGCCGTATGGATTCAGAAGCTTCGGGTACAATCCTGTCCAGTGTCACGGATCAGATGATCACACTTGGCGTCCTGTGGTTATTGCTGTGATCACCTGAAGCAACGCTTTATGTGGTTTAAAGTGCGGACATGACGGCCAAGACCGATGCTGCCTAAGGACGGCAAGATCAGTAAGGGGATGAAGGGAGCAGGCTTTGAAGTTGCGTGCTGATAAGCGGCGGAATGCTGGGAAAACTTAGTGTGAGGCTACCAGTGCAACGGCCACCATCGAACGGTATCACATGGAAGCCAAACATATTTAGAATTTTCACAGTTAGTCAACCTCCGATCGCACGAGGTTGCACTTGAATTCGAAGCCGCCTACGCGTCTTTCAGTGGGACGAATGTGGTGTTAGTCGCCCCCGTGGGGCACTCTATACCATCCAATCTAGTGTAAATGACCTAATTCATCCTACAAACCTGAGTGGTGCATCTCCTGACTATTCATATTGGACCTGAATGACCTACAGTGTTCGCGTCCATTGGGCGCCAACTTGCACTCTTCTTGTCACATTCGACTACCTACATCAGTGACCACTCTAATGGCGCGTTCCTGGAAATCAGCGTATTTTTTGGCTCACTCTTTGGTGCTGTTTGTCTTTTGAAGACTACCCCACTGCCCAAAGTATTGGCTCATTCCTGAAAGCCCTTCGGCTCCTAAGTATGTCTAGAGTGCAGATGAATCCCAAGTACTGCGACCGATAAGAGCACAGACTATTCCTTCGTTGGAAGCGCCTTTCACTATATAGCGCTCTGTGTTTCGTAGTAAAGAAGGGTAATCGAGCGGCTTCTTCGAAGCATTCTTTTTGACATGTCTGTCTTGGGTGGGTACGATGTGAGGAATTCATGTGCACCTCACCGGTTATTTGACGCAGATGCCTGTGGCTAAATAAAAACAGGATAGCCTATTTTCATGAGTAAATCTTCCGGTGAATGCTGGCTGGGTGTGACAACATTCGACGAAGAGGACAGGTTAGCTCTCAGACACGGTGACAGACACTTGGATGTTTGGTTGAATTGTTATTTTTTCGAACACGGGACGAGATGACTCAGTGATTAGAGTGCGAATTTACTGACCGGAATGTCTGTGGTTCGAACCCGATCTCTGCCTCTCGAATTCTCTTGTCTAGACTTAGGCAACCTGGCAGTATCCCAGCCCTCATGATGCCTTCTGGTGGAAAGGTGTACCATATCGTAGTTAATCATACATTATAACCTTAAACGGATTCCGCCAGCAGTTCACTGGCTTAGCTCAATGCTAAAACCTTGTCCCCGACGATGGAGAAGCCAGTATGCAACTTTACGCCCATCCACTCGGGAAATTTCTTGAGGATTTTCTCCAGTTTACGCATCCTCGAGTGTAAAGCACAAGATTATATCTTGCTTGCATATTCACTGTCTGAAGAACGTACTCTGTTTAGACGTCCATATCAACAGATGAGTAAATCAATGCGTGTAGCTTCCGTTACTGGATCTGTGAATTCATCACACATTAATGGCTACTATTCTCACAACACAACTCTGCTGTGGTGCCTTGTAAATGCTCCACATTATTACGGATGGAAGACCTAATCTGCTCTAGCAAAGGGTGGTTGCTAAATGTTTCATCTTGTCCCTACTTTAACTATTGGCAAGCTAGAAGCCCATTTATATCACAACAGACGATTATGATGCTCGCCCGGGGTCGATCGGTGGCTCACACTAATCTCAGAGACGACGACATTCAGGTTTTTCGCAGCAGGCGCACATTTGGAATTAGATCGAACGAGGTCGTGGTAACCTGAGCAGCCCTCCATGTTGTGATAAGCAACAGACACCAACCATCAGCAGACAAACTCTGAGACCGTGCGAGGGAGAGTGACGTGTGTGTGTGTGTGTGTAACAAGGGGTCGGAGATGTTGATGCTTAGATGAATCTGATCAGGGTTGTCCGTCAAAGTGGTGGTTGTATGATCGATTTTCGGGCACATTGCCTTGGGTCAGGTTGAGAATTTGCATTTCCGATGCTCGATTCCAGTCGTGGGCGTGCGTGTCTGTGTGCATGTGTTTGTGTATACTACTTAGTGTTTCGGCCGGGCTCGTTTTGTTTACCTCTGTGCTATGGTCACCCAGTCTTCGACCCACACTCGCACATCCTGAGTCGAGGTTGGTGAACTTGTCTCGACTTGTTCCCTCGATGCGACTCAAACCCTATTGAGGTCAGTATGACCATTCAGACGACAATGACAGCGTCTTTGACGGTCCAGTTAGATCGTGTCACCCCACACGACCTATTTATGCATTAATAAGTTTGATACTATCCCTGAATGGTTTCATCGGTGCAACAAAATGAAGTCCTATGCAAGTCTAAATTTGAGGGTTGTCATTTGGGCTTTTAGTATATTGGTCAGTTTGACAGTTTTCGTACACCTCCCTCAACTGACACAGACGAGTTAACCGATAATAGGGTTTAAACTGATTCTTACTCCATGTCATCTGGGTTGCCCCCCCCCCCCCCGCTCGGTTTTATTGATGCCCCGCGCTTCGGTTTTCAGTCTAGCGTTGGATGTGCGACATCGTTCTTCACGCTAGATGTTGTTGGATTCTTCATCAGCCCTTTTTCGGAGATGTAAAGACCACCTAGGATAGCGACTGCTCGAATAACGTGTTCAATTGTTACGTTACTGATTAGTTTCTTTCGTTCGTATCGTAGGTTTATCCTTAGCGGGGATAATCTCTGGTGCCCACGCTCAAGCCGGACAACTACATCCCACCTTAGTGAGCAATCCCGCCCTGATCAATCTGATTTCATCCACTGGTCGTCCGCTCACCTCCCAGGCAAATGTGCCGCTCACATCCGCTGCTGCTGTCCGTCTGTTGAACAGCTTGAATAACTTGACGCCATCAAACGGTTTGTTAACAGCGGCCAATACAACAGCTTCAACGACAACACCTTCCGTGATTCCTAGTAGTTCAGTCCCCACTGGCACGTTGCTAGGAGGCGTTGGACTGACTGGTGGAAGCACGCTGAATTGGCTCGATTCGTCACAAGCACTGTTTGCAGCGGCCGCAGCTGCAGCCTCAGGTAATGTCAACCAAATTTCTTTCAACACTCTCCGTGGGCCAACTATATCCGGGGCCATCGGAACACCACGTCCCCTGGGGGCAAACGGCTCCTTTATTGGTCTGTTGGATCCCAGAACTGGTCTCCAGCTGCGGGTGGCTGATATCAGCGGGATCTCCTCAACTCTGACATCCAGCCTTTCCGCTTCCAATGAATTAACAAATTGTATTGGAAGCAGTGGGCTTTCAACAACTAATAGTGTCTTTACTCACCCAATAGACGATCCAGCGGCCCTACGACCGATTGAAGCACACGCTATTGGTGCCGGTGAGTTAAGGAGAAAAGTAACGGAAAATGATCACTTCGCAAAGTCTGGTGACACAGAGACTGCATCACCATATGATACACACTTGGATGACGACTGGGATTCAGGACACGATGACTCGAGCAAAATTCAGAACGATTTGAAGACAATTTATTCTTCGGGAATCAAAACTGATCCACTTGCTGACAGTGCTGGTTCGAGTCCAAATCTCACCAGCATAACATCCACGTTATTGTCTGCAGTCAACCGTCGCAATAATTCTACTTCGAGAAGTCCCTTAATAAGTGGGTCTAGCAGGCGAGGAGTTGGGTCCTTGGGCGATCCGCTACAACCTGGACGACCACACAGACAAAACTTCACCCCGACACAAAACCGCATACTCACCGAATGGTATCAAACACACCAGAGCAAACCTTATCCATCCACAGATGATACGAAGGAACTTGCGATCATCTCAGGTCTAAGCTATTCGCAGGTGAGTTTGGATTACCTTTACCAGAATGATACCTATCCTCTGATACACAACTGAGCACTGGTTTATACTTTTCCTCAATGATCAGTGTTTTACAGTGTGCTTATGGGTCAATGCTTTTAGCTCGGATAGGCTCTATAGGGTTCACAACTGCGGAATTCTCCGGGCGAGTCGTTGAGATGATTGGCTCTGGGTGTACGCGTGGGAAAACTTTGTATATTTCACCTTTAAGTGTCTGGTCTCTAGTCAACGTTCATCATTGAAGGGCTGTTGGCCTACTGGTCTTTCTGAGACATCAGCGTGTGTTTTCGTGCGGCGGTATCTCTGTTAGGGAACAGTTGACCGTTCATGTTGTATTCCCTATCTGTGTTACCCAGTATAGCTGACTAGGTATCTGAATGTTTAATTACTGCGTCCGTGAGAGACTAATCCTAAGCACATTTCCAGTTAAAGATATAAAAATCTGCTGTCATTACTGTTTTGGTCCAAAAACCTGTTACTACATTATCCTTTGCTCAGGTGCAGTATGTATTCTGTTGAGTTAGAATCTCATTAATACGAAACTTGATTGCCCAGTGGTTAGAGTGAGAATTTACTGACCGAAAGGTCCGTGGTTCGAACCCGATCTCTGCCTCTCGACTTTCCCTATCTAGACTTGGGCAACCTGACGATATCCCGCCCTCATGCTTCCTTCTACTGTCACGGCAGCTGAGCACCGAAAAGGTGCTGAAGCTGAATGATTCCTTGACGGAACACTAATAATAAGGGCGCTGAAAGCTCTTCGACAGCCACTAGCGGTTTTGTCCTTCTTGGGGCTCTTCGGGTGGATGCAGTCTCCTAGTTTCCGTCAACTATATGTTTTACTTGAACCTACATTGTACACACTTCATTTGCAAACTAACTTAGTTTTAACGGGAGAAACATCAGACGCGTTTGCGCGTTTACGCGTATGAACATAAGTCTGCCAAAGCCGTCCTCATACCATGCTTGTCAGTTAGTGGAGCTAATTTTAATGAAGTTTCTACTTCGTTTTGCGGTCTAAACTATTTCAAATATGCATTCTTTCATTGGTGCTCCGGTTTTCCATGAGCATTCAGGAGCTTTTTGGTAACATATTTCAGAATGGACTCCACAGAAGAAACCGGAAGCTGTTAGATACTCAGCACATCGATCGATCTATTGAGCACAGCTTTCCTGTCCTGGCAGGCTAAACATATTACCAGTGCCGTTGCCGTTCATCCGATTAATCTGTTTCAGGCATTTCCTGGATCGTACCCCAAGTAAGGAGGACTACCGCATCCTTACCATGAACTTCCTACCTGAGAGTTAATGAAATCACAAAAAACCCCATAGTGTAAGATAACCAGCAGACGTTTGTCACATGAGTGTCTTGGCCCCATGTCACAAGCCATCTGACAGAAATTTAGTCAATTCACCTAGATCAGCGATCAGCTCTGAAGTTATGTAGCAGTGGGTCGGATCCAACCCATAACTCGTAGTTTGGACAGCCCCAGTCTAGTGATCGCTATGTTCAGCACTACCTAAAGTCGAGTATACGTATGCTATCTTTATTTTCTTTCATTTGTCTTGAAAAAGGCCCCTATTGCCACATTGCCACAAGCGAAGTGGAAATTACACACCATAGGAACCAACGCCAGAACTTTTGGTGTGAATAAGCTGTTCTATCAAGAAGTCATCATCAGTAACTTGTGCTTTCAGCCGCTCTCGGCAAATTGATATCAGCTGGAATTCACATTTTCACTGTCCTCCCAAATGCTTCGAGTTCTGTACCCGTGGAATCACACTGTGACGATTGCAAACAAGGATCACGCAGTTCCACGGTGTTGCTTAGAATAGTAGTCCGGGTGGACTTCACGTCCGGCTTCAGCGATTTGACGCCAATGCGTTTCAACCGAACACAACCGCTAACCGAATATAAAGTGGCAACCGTCACTGGAAAGGATTCGCATCATGTTGAATTCCTTATAGTCAAGAATTGAGTTGTCTTCAGAAGGACGCCCTCTTTGCAAAAAGGCAAACCGATTGTATGCCAGTGTCGTTCCCACTAATCTTGCTCAGTTTTGTCTGTATAGTTCGCCATCATAGATTTCTCCAACGGACACTTTTCGTGGTTGACAAAAGGACGTACTACTTCATGTGATAGTGATTTGGTATAAATACGCTGAGTTGGCTGCTTAGCATCTGGGGAAATCCGGACTGATAATAAAAATGAACTACTCCTACCAAAACGTTGCTCTCATTCTGACTTTCCGACGAATATCAGACAAGATGTTACTTCGCACACGAAAATCGTTTTTCTGTGTATGATAGTGTTTTGGCTTTTAGGTTTTTGCCTGTTCAATAACATGTTGCTATTTGAAAACTGGTTCAGCTTAGTCAATTTATTCTGGCCAACATCCAAGCCTTCCAATGGTGTATGAGCTCACGTAGGGTAGTTAGTTGCCAGGTCAGCAAATCTGGCGCTGTGATTTAGCACTCGCCCTAGCACTCTCACTCTTGTCGCTTTGTCTCCGAGGTTTTACACTTGATGAGTAAGATGACCTGAGCCCCACTGTGGGAGCTTTTGGAGCTGGCAGACATGATACCAGATGTATCGGCACTTCATTTCACAGACATACATTGGCAGGGTAGCAACAAAACTCTTGCTAAGGCACTTGGGCTAGCTGCATTGATATTTCGCTCTACAGTGGCATGGGCAAATGGAAAAGCTGCCACACTGGTTGTGTTCCGCCATGTCTCATTCATCCCAAACTCCACGCCATTCTCCTCGGGAACAGACTAAACATGCACCTAGGCTCAACGCACACGGAATGTGTGGTGTGTACGCTCGGTTGCCTTGTCAGTTGGTATCTGCCATCCCAATCGGTGGTTACCGTGTGACGTACTTGTGTGCCCATGTGCGTTCACATACACACATTTGGTGGCTACTCTACAAGTGCTTTTGTTTCCAACTCGCACACGCACAGATGCACAACCCAACCCATCCCATCCTTCCTGTTCTAAAATAAGCATTCCATCAAGTCGCCGACGTGGTGCCGCTGCTCCCGCTGCTCAGTTCACCTGTGCTTTCACCGGACAGACACTCGTCGTCCGTTTTGCATACCTCACTCCCCACTGTCCTCACAATCACCGCTATGCTGCTGCTCGTTGCCTTGTTCATGCCATCACGATGGCAGACTGCTTCTCCCAACTGTGCGTGCGCACACGTGAACATCTTCCGATCGAACTTCACAGCAGATTACGTGCACGCGCACAGCACAACCCCACACTGTATCGTTCTACAAAAATGCACAAACGCACGTGCGAGTGCATCTCGTCTCTGGGACAAAGCGATGATGCAGTAAGTCGGCTGTGCTGCCTCTCGTGGTGCTGCCGCTGTGCTTTTGGTTTCATTGCGATCGATCGATCGTTCGCCTGACCGTTCCCACTCTACACACGTATAAGTGACTGGGCAAAAGTCGATTGGGATGGACTGAAGGCTTTTCTCATCCACAGTGCGCACGTACATATCCGTATATAGACGCACACCATTCAGCGGTTTGCAACCCAGAACAGTTCGCTCACCTTGACCACCTATTTTACCGTGGATGCATTCGTCTTCATGCTGCTGTGTAAACCCAATTGAGCGAGCGAATGTAGGGGAGCGTGGGTGTCATTGCTACTGGCCTGCTTCCATCGGACACAGCCTACCAAAGTAGGTGCGCGCATAGTGCACTAACTTGCCGGCAACAGGAGAAAATTATATTGATGTTCCAAGCTCTGTTACACAAGTCTGTCATTGAGAACTTGTTGGGAGTTTTCCGAGATATGAGGAACGGGTGGACCACAGATGAAACCATACAAGAAATTTAATGACTGCTTGATACACGTTTTATTGAGGAAAATATCGCGGTTCCTGGTGCTAAACTTAGGACTGGAATTGCCCCTTTCCCTCAGGATTTATTAAGGCAGTTGCACTCAGATTTTCTTACAATACAGCGTATGCCATCCATAAACGTTGTGGTCAGCTACAACCATAGCTACTCAAATTCAGTGGACGTCATCCATCAGTCCATATTGCAATGGGCAAATGTTACTTTAATTTAGACTTTCCCCGTGACTGAAGATCCTTGAGTACTTTAAAAGTTCATGTCGATTTACAATTACACACTGCAGCTGAGGTTACAGATGGGTGTGTTGCCTCGGCAACACCTAAGCCCACGAGACTGTAGTAGTCTATATTCGCTAATTGTTGGATTCGAACGTATACGTCTTGACAAAGAATGGCTTTGGGAAGCGCTCCACAGTCAGACATACTATCGATCATCATTACCTCATGGAGAGAGGTTCATTCATTTGCGATGGATGCAACTCGAGATGAAGTGGCTCCTTTTTGTGTGCATACCCAAATAAAAAGGATCCTTCCATCCAATAATAACCATCCGGACGGTGCCATGTCCGAGCGATAAGGCTGAACCCAGGGTTACTGCTATTCCTTCGGTTTATAAACTTAGGACAGCTCATGCCGAATTTTTTCGTTAAGATGAAATCTTGGGTGAGGGTAAACTGACCGCAGTTCCTATGATGCTCTTGAAGATAAAGAACTTTCCGGAACTCGGCAAAACTTGTAAGTTGTTTCCATTACTACAAATCGGAGGTCTCCCTAGGTTGAATTAGATTCAGTAGCCAAGTCAGCTCGTCGTTAGTAGAATGCTATCTGTTGAATACATGACTGGCATGAACTTTTCAAGCAGTTCGTATCGTTAATGGTCCTTTCTGATAGTAGCGTTGAGTTGTGGCAACGTTCGCCTTGCCTACGACTGACTGCACTTACGGCGGCTAGGTCCAGAATACCCGTCGATCGACTAGATCTCCTTGTGTGACTCATGTGTGATCTGCGCTTCGTGGTCATACCAATGGATCAAAGGCTAAGTCTAATCAGAATGTGTATCGATAAACTTGACCACGGCGCTGTATTTTTCGTCTTTTATCCATGTTTATAACCATACTTTCCAGCTGAGACTTTGTCGACTGCGTTGTTCTTCATGAAGCCGCTTGTATCATGCCGCCAATCACTCCGTAGTATCTAGGCTGTTCTTTTACAAGCTCCATTAGGGTCTGGTAAAAAACAGTTTTGACGGGCTAGTATCCTACTGAAACGCCACAAGAGACCGAAAAATGGGCAAGCAGTTTTCTACTACCACAGCAAACTGATCAAACGAAACGCAGAATCATACAGTACGTTACAGAGACGACGTGTTAAGCATGAATGTTTTCTGGGCTGCTTTACTCTCACTTAGACCACGTGATATACATTGAACTTCCCGGATCATAGTCCCGAATTCGTTTCCCCGATAACCTGCATAAAATAACGGAAATCAGAATAAGTCTTGTCCGATCAACTCTAACACTCACTGAATTGACAACAGTTTCTACTACCTTAGACGTCTTCGAAATCAGAAAAAAACCAAATCCTGTCGTATCAGCAAGGTGACCGTGTTCAGGAACAAGAAAAAACAAACACCCCGTGTTGAAATGCATGTTAATCACACTACTGCTCAGCTACCCGTAGTTAAACAGTAGTGTTCATTGACAAAGATGCGGGTCTGGATCACCCTAGACGTTCGTGTGAAGCGCGATGCTGATGCTTTCCACCAAAGGTGAAACAGTCAGTCTCTTGGCTTTCCATCATCACGGCTTGTCTTCACTTGCATGAAACTTCAATATCTCCTCACTTCTGACAAAAAAACTGTCCCTCTTGATTGAGGCTCACAGTGATACGGGTGCATGAGCAAAGTCAGTTCATTGGCTGGAGGAAGTGGTCAATGGGTAAAACCCTAAAGATTACCTTGCTGTTTTCACTGTTGAATCGGATAGGTTGGGTCATGCAAGTATAGAACAGTGTTTCCTTTCCACAGAAGAAACCACTCGGAATAATCTGTAGGGCTTAGTAGATTGACAAAGGTAGTAGCGGCAAATATTTTTATGATACTTATGATATTAGGAAGGACCCTAGAATGCCTGTCTTAGGAAGAACGATGTTTCGGGGAGTAGAAGAAAATCAAATGCTAGTTAAGAATGAACGCTCTGAAGAAGTAACCTGTTTTTTACGACTCTGAGAAGCACTCCTTGAGATGGCTTATCGAATTAGTGCTGGTTTATGGCTAAGACTTACACAGTCGAAATCAAATCAGCGGTGACAGTAACTCCAATGCTTCACTGCCGCACAAATGCAAATACATGTCGGCTTATTAAAACAAATACGAAGGTAAACAAAAAGCACGTCCGAACAACTACTCAGCTGGTTGTATCCAAATTGATGGAAAAACTTTACCGAAATTGGCCGGGTTGTCTGGCCTCAAAAATTCTCTGTGGCTTTTGTTCAACAAAACGTCTCTGTCCAATCACAGTGTTCACCTCAGGATCTTTTTGCAAAGAGAGACAAGAGTCCTAGCAGAGATGCGTTCTAGCGAGGCACCCTAGAGATACGTACCTGAATGGGAACTTTTCCGGGGAAAAGTACTTCTACCCATCTCAGTTAGACGTGAAAAGCTATAAAATTCAATATACAGAGGGCGCCACCTAGTGGACTTGGTTCTCTTGTTGAAAACCGTTAGTTTGCTTCTGTGGCCGGCGGGAAAATCCAAACTTTCTCTCACCTGATCGGAGATCTGCTGATCACCGTTTCCCGCTATCTAACCCACCTACCCACTAGTGCACCCACCAGCAACTGTGCGCACGAGAACCACGTGTGTGTCACACTTCCACCTCTTGATTGTGAAACCCTTCCGCCTACGTTGCACAATGGCATGTGCGCACCGTATCCTATCAGCTCCATTGCCGAACTCCACCGATCGATCAGTCAACGCGGCTGTCACACTTGCTCGTCCTGTCTCGTTTTCTCGTTTCCTGGTACGTCTGGGGTGGTGGAGCTTTGGGCGCGCTAGTGCCCGACCCGTGTAACATGTCAGGGCTTGGTGCGATTACTGGCTTGACAAAACGAGCAATCCATATGCACCGTTGCTGCGCTCAGGTCTTAGCCAAGCGGGCGACTGAACGTGCATACAAGTCGGCTGGCGAGGCAACCCTGGAGGGGGAGGAAGTTTGGTGTTCGGACAATTGGAGGGATTGGAGCGAGTTGTTCTGTCTATATCTGGGTTGGCATGCTCGTTCACGGTGCCGTCTCTGACAGGAGCGTTTTGTGTGCACAAACATACAAGCAGACTGTGTAGTTGAGAGCGACGCACCTCGAGTTTTGTGCGACGCTCATTGCCCGGTTGAAAAAGGTTAGCTTGCCTGAAACACTTGCGTGCTGGAAACATAAATTTCTCCTCGATTGCGAATGTCTGTCTTCATGACCTTTTGGGCGCGTTGTGCTGGTTTATCGTTAGGGGTAACAAGTCAGCTGATTGCGTAAACGAGAACAGTGGAATGTCTGTGGACTCGCACGCGTCTGCTTGGGTAAAGTCAGTTTACTGCCCTTCTGGTTCACTTGTTCTCTAACTCGGTCAACCTAATTTTCACTATATCTCTCACATTCTCCCTTGTGTATGTTCTCATTAACTCCCACATCTGCGTTTCATTTTCACCCGTAAATGTCACATCAACGAGATGAAAGCATTCAGAGCATTTTTCATCCGCCCAAACCTCATCAGCCGAACTAAAACATGATAGATCCTAAGTTCACTCTGAGGTATCCGCATGGGTCGCGTTCATAACACACAACCTAGTTTGGTGTGCGCTGTGTGTAAATGTGTGAGGTGTGTGCTTCTTTGATTGTACTTCTACTTATTAGATGGGATGAATTGTTGTGATTTCCGCAATAGAAATTGAGGATGGAACAGGATGCAGATGGTCGACGATGTCATTCCTATTCTGTGTGACCAATATTACTGATGTGCGAGAGATGAAATCATCCGTATCTATTACACCAGGTAGATCTTTCATTCATTGGGGCGCCACTGTCTACCTCATTCACAATGCAGTAGCGATAGGAGTAGATGATAGTGTGGAGGGTGCTATATAATTAAGTGTAGGTTATTTCTCATAAATTGAAATTCTCCTGCTAATTTGTTTTTTAAACATTTAGGTCAAGAAATGGTTCGCAAATAAACGAGCACGTTCTTCCTCCAGTGGTTTACCCAAACCAACACCACCAATGGCACCGGATTCTTCACCCGATCCGTCGGCAGCGGCCGCCATTGTGGCCGCTGCGATGGCTGCTGCAACGTCGGAAGTTACTACGACGGACAACGCCCACTATGTCAATTCAGTTGGTCGTACTACCACTCCAGACAGTCTGACACAAGCAGCTGCTACCCATATAAATAACACAAGCTACAGAGAAGTTGCACTGGGCTCAGAAGAGGGTGCTCATGTCGGTGATTTGTCTGTTACCCAGTCTTGTGGGTCCGTTGGAATGGCTTCCTCCATCTGTACAGAGGATGATGATCCACCTCTCACTGTTGTGCTTGAAGCGAAGATTAACACTTACAAAAGTCCTGAGCAGCTGGATCATGACAACGGAGCTCCTGCGGAACCCATTTGTTTGGAGCCCATACAGGATGCACTGACATTCACCAATTCTGACCATTCTCCCTCTGATCTCGTCAAACCGAAGTCCACTAATAGTGGAACAGCAGACTCCGCTGCCTCTCCTCCAACGTTACAGGTACACCTCACCCCTCGAATGATATCCCCACAGAATGCTGGCATAGTAAATTCCGGTTATGACAGCATGGAGCTCCCTGATGAGGCTAATCTTCCAGAGGAAATTCCATCTTCGGCTTCAAACGATTGTGCAACTAGTCAGTCCTCTCCATGTACACAAGAAGTGCAGGCCCGTCAGGAAACGCTTCGATGCCCAAAATCCAAAGGGATGAGAAACCGAGGAGTTACTTTGGATGCAAGCTGAAATTGGTGAAGTCCTTAGCGGATTTGAAACAAGAGCCTATTCTTCTCAGGCTATTAAGCTTTTTGACCCTTCAAACTTTGGGGTATTTGCTTATTACCCACCGACCTAGCAGATGCATGTAAACTCAGTCCACAGCTGGAAGATTGGTCTGTAACCAAAATCTCAGTTATTACAGGCAAACCTGTGAAACCACCTTCGACCTCAGGTTACCTGTTTCCGTCCGGGTAACCCACTGTTTATTAATGCCCTCTCATTTGTAATTTTGCCGAACATCCCACTATCCTCTAATGTGCATGAGTTCTAATGTTTTTCGACTTTTAACCAACTACTTATGAGAAGTCGGATAGTCAACTCCGATTCCCACGTTCGCATGCTGACAGTTCGAGTCCACGTCAACATTTAATTACTGTAAATAGTATCCCCTTTTTATCCAAGCCCAACGATGTACTATCACTATTATTCCTGTGCTTTCGTTTCTATCCCATAATCGTCCCCCTTAGTGTTTTGTTGATGCTTTTCTATGCCACTTGACAGTAAACGCGCTAAAGTCGTGTTGAAAATCATCCATACCTCACACTGACCAACTCACTCACTCACTGACCCAGCAAACAACTCGTGTTTTCTAGTCCTCCTACAACCGCTTTGATTTTTGCCTTGAATTTGAACCCCCACCGACTCACCTGCCAGTGGAAAACAATGTGTTATTGTATCGAATGTGGCTTACATTTCAGAATTTTTCGGCGGAATTCATTCCGCTTGCCTTTTTACAAACAAACTACAAGTCATCATTCATTGTCTTGCAACTTAGCTTGAGGTTTTCGTGACCGATTCCCTTCATTGCTCGCAGAATGGAAACAACATGCGGGAACAAAGAAACTTGACGAGAAATGCAGAATACCAAATGCGCGAAAGCATAGCTATATGTCTCGGGTTAAGGGGGATAAAGCTGTCTAACCATGAACAAGATATCTAACAAGTGCGACAGGAGTTTCAGTCTCATTGGTCGAAACTTGTTCGCGTAAGAGTGGCTAGTTCTGTTTCTGTACCACTTTCAGTGGAGTTAAGAAAATTGCTGTGACCAAAGCTAGGATGAGAGATGCCACAATAGCTGTTTTGACGAGGCAACAACTACCTTCACAGCAACATCAAAGTGGAATTAATAACTTATTGCTACACGCATATCATATACGAAAATTCTACTAGATCCGAAGAAAGTTGATCATCAGTTAGGTGAGTAATTCGTTCTGGTGTTAAATTCACAGATATCTTCCACAGCACTATAGCGGTAAGCTTTTGCCCAAGAGTGTTTCAAAACGGCAACGAAGTCAATGTTTGGTGGTGAGAACTTTGTCAAACACCGTCAGTCTATATAATTTACAGGGGCTTACGTGTCATTTACGTATTTTAACAAGTGCACAGTTCAACTAAACAATCTAATATACACATTTAGTTGCTCCAATTCCATTGTGAACGTTTGTTCTCTCCAGCCGATAAAATCTGTAGAGTGAAAGCTCACCACGCACCAAACCGAACCTGCTGAAAAGTAATCAAGTTCAGTTGCCTTCATGGTGTCTTTTTGCATGAACTTTTTGTGTGAGCTGTAAGGAGCAGTTCACATTTTTGCGTGACTCACTTCCAAAAATTAGGTATTTAACTCAAGAAGATGCATCATTCAGACTATGGGCTTGTGGTAGCTCGGTATGGACCGAGGCTTGGGACATGAGGTTGGCCTGAACGTTTCCTATCCTATTCGTTCGTGAGCACATCCGCTTCAACAAATCCGTTTCCGTTTCCACACCTGAACTAAAACGTGATAATCGTTTTTCCGCGTGGGTGTGGGGCTTCACATGACTGACCTGTCTACGTCCGCCGGGGCAAGGAGGGGTCAAAGCGCATCATGGTTGACAGCATCCGGTTTGTCTATAATGGAAAAATTGACTAAGCTTGTGGACAAGGTTGATTAGGCTCATGACATCTCGGATTATTTCAATCAGCCGATCAGCACACTAGACGTAGGTGACTGTGAGCACAGGACGTAGAACTGGTTCGCATAGGAGAAAGTTAGAACCCAGGATGTTCGGGAGCGCATGAATTTGTGAGCACGGAATGAAAACCTTAGTCACAGCATTTGAAGCATGTAGTCTTAATGGGCAAACAGAACTTTGTTCACAAGATTATATAACGCACCTATTACAGTTCAGCATCTAGTTTCTGACGAAAAGCTCGGTTTAGAGTGGAACATATCGATAGGACGTTCTTATCCACACCTATATAAAGTTTCAGAGTCTAAAACTATTGTGAGTAATGCAATACTCTCATTTGTTAACCTTTCTCTTCGCCGTTATTTCAAAGCCTTTATGTGTCATTCTACGAACATCTAACTTGTCGAACTATCCCCTATGGTGGATAGCGGCCCCTGTAACATTTCCCCTGTTGTCGATGTCCAACCAGTTTTTGGTGGTCAAGAATACTGTTGTCCAACAAAAGATGTATCAGGTGATACACAACTCAGAGACTCAACGTATCTGTCACGTGAAGAAAGGAAGCGCTTACGGAGGTAACAATCCAGGAAACATGATTACTTTATACTTGTGTCTAGAAAGTTTGCTGTGAGTTGATGTACTGCAGTGTGCATAGTTAATTACAATGAAGTGTCTGCTATGATTCAAAGCACAGTAATCCTGATCAAGAGAAACTTTCAAGGTGAAGAACGGCATTTGGCTTCCTTTTGGGATTAGTCTCTATATTGTGGTGATCACACAATTCACCGACAATCTAAGTAGGCCGTTTATCATTCGTGTGTGGAAGTGGGCTGAAAAAGGACTGGAAAACATGTGATCATTCACACTGTGTGAACTGCAGGCCTATGCAATACTGTTGCACTAGACGACCTGTTCTTCAAACTATGGGTCTTGAAATTCGTTCGAGGATATCAGTTGAGTGTTCTGCTCGAATGTTCCGGCTCTCTTTATTATGCGAGCTCGAGGCTTGTCCCTTAGTTCAGCCTTTCCATTTGAGAACGCATACCTTCTGAAGCGAAATTCGTCCGTCTACCTCGGACGGGGGGGGGGGGGAGAGGGCACGAAAATCAGCTGCATCAAGCCAATTAACAATGTTATTAATCAAGTTTGTCTAACTAGATACCCTGAATACAGCAGTTTCTAAATAGCGTCGATGGGGCTTGAGAGGTCTAGTCAATAAAAAGCCATCACAGTCGGCTTTCTTTCGAGATATTATTGTCCCAGAATGTTTTTCCACAAAATCGTTCACCAAAGAATAAATAGCCATCGATCAACCGTCAGATCACATCAGAAGCAACTCCAACATTTGCACAGAGGACCAGACAATATATAGCTTTCACGCTCCGCCCTGTTAATGTATGGGCATTGAGCCACCTGGCCACCGTATGAACTTAAATCCCAAACTAAATTAAGTTGGTATCATGAACGAGAGCACAATTACATGGGTTGGAACGATCCATCAGAGCTTATGATGGACGGGTCATGTTCACAGTACAGTCGTTGCTTTAGCTGAACGGCCATATACATGTCCCCAGCTCTCCTAGTTATTCACCCTCTTGTGTGTGCCAGTGATGTGTGGCTTGTGTAAATTATGTGGCAAATAACTTGGGACAGGAATGGTGTTACTCAATTCCCCACGGAAAGACTGCACTTTGATGGAGGAATTAGTTCAATACAATCCTGTATGGTCCGCTCACTACCCAGTGTGTTGTCTAAACGGTGGAACACCTACACAGTTTAGACGCTCATTTGAGGTTTCCGTGATACATCAACAGCAGAACTGATCACACCACACTGGTGTGTTGTTGAATTGATGTTGGTTGGTGTGTCATCATCGCGGAAAACAGCATAATAATAGTGTTTGGGATTCTCCGTCCTACGGTATCGGACAGTAAGAACTAGTGGAGAAAGGGGAGTGAAAAAACCAAAGGAAACTCTTCGATGGTTTGCAATAACCCACTATGGGGGAGGGTTTGGAAGGACTATCCATTTTGTAGGAGTGTTCCTTAGGAAGTCATCATCACGATTGTTCAAAAGATCGACCGCATTCATTTAATTAACTACGAGGGGTCGTGAATTGTACAACACATGACACCCTTCAGTCCAAGTCCAGTTAAGTGACTGAGTCTAACTATACAGGTTAATGCCTGAATACGTACGATGTCGATAGGATGCCAGCCTTGATCCATTTCATTTCACCCCTTAAGACTTCCAAACTGTGTGGAGCTTTGCAAGTGACACCGTTTCAAATGCGTACACCCAGTAAGAACCATCATCAAAAAGTACTCGTGTGATTCTACTATCATAAATCCAATTTGTTAAACATGCTGGTGTAATTCAACCCTACATATCTATGAAAGGAGTCCCAAAACGGATCCATTTCGAAAGATTTGATCTAACCAAAGAGATTTTCGTATAACCTATGGTTTGCGACTCCAATACTCCAAAATTTCGAACCCACTCTCGCTCTGATCCATGGGTGGATAGAACTGACAAGCTGTGAAAAATGGCCTCATGAGGCTTTGTGACATGACTGTCTGTTCACATCACTCCAGTTTAAACAGCTCTCGTCCTGTCCTGGCACAACTATTCTGGTTGGTCCACGCCAAACAGAGAACATGCCTTAACCCATCATTTCGGTCGCACCATGACCACATAGTACGCTATATCAGTTTTGTGCTAGCTAGAGAAGTCAATTTAGACTGAACCACAGCAATTCCTATCGGCTACTCCCAAGTTATAGCTGCAAGACAAACGAACGTACTTATCACTGACGTAAGAAGAAGCTGAGACAGCACGATCTAAGAGGGATGGCGAATCGACATACCGCGGATTGCCTAAACACAAAACACAAAAAAGATAAACATACCATCAGTGGATTTGTGCACTCGTTTGTGTGCATTTGCTGTAGATTGCACGACAGAGGACGGTTTCTTCCTGTCCCATTCTGTTCCGTGTTATGACACTATTGCTTCACATGAGAGAATGATTTCGGTAGGCGTTTTCTCAAAAAAGACACCGCTGTGTATCGATATTTCTCAGCGCACGCATGAAAATATGCTGACGTCATATAGGGTGATCAAAAGGGGCCTAAAGGATTGTTTTGGAACTTAAAAATGAAAGCTTCCCACTAAAAGTAACGGACATCAGCCATCCACTCCTCAAATTCAGAAAAGCTGAACGGTAATCTCAGTGGATTTTTAATCGTACACGTACTCAAGGCCAAACCTACTCAATTCGTGCGGTAACCAATCAGTTATAAAGCGAACTACTGGGGATGAAGTTCATCTTGATGGATAGCTTTGAATACTATTGCGGTTGCCGTCCAAGTTCAATTGTCAAGCAGCTTGGGTTATGCTCACAAATTCTCTCGGGGCACACGCCGTGTCATGCATTTCACACCGTTAACCGGACACTAGCGAATAAATGGACAAATCACCATTGGCAAATCACGGACCGGCGATCTATCCTTGATATCGAACAGTGGGCCGCTGCTGAAGTATACCCTTAATTGGGCTGTATTGAATGTCCGTTTGAACACACAGGTTAGACCACGGGTCAGCGTTTTGGAAGCCCCATTGCTCATGAGAGTAAGGCGGTTATAGGTGAGCTTTTTCGTAACCGACTGATCTCTTGAGGGTACGTACCTGGCCTCTGAATGAATAGGACTTTTATAAGCTGCTCTGAATGTCCGGTTTGCACAAGGACTTTACAGTTA